GGTAACAGTCAGATCGATATCTATCCCGCTAAGCAAAAAGGGCGATTTTTCCTGAAGACCACTTTTGTCTGGTGAAAATCCGTAAACTTCTTAAATCTTCAACGAAAAAACAAGTTATGATGTTTGGTCTCAGTAGCGTTGCACATTTCCTCCCCTCCAGCGTCTTCTCGAATTTGGGTTTTAAATTGGACATTGATTTCAAAGAGGTCTGGCAAATTGGCGCTGTTGTTTAATCCATCTTGAGCATCTGGCTAAAGTTACGCCTCTCCTTTCACAAGAGCACTTAGAAACCACGACTTAGTTAAATCTCAGCTAGATTGCTGCAGTGCACTTTATTTTGGAGTCAGCCAGTCCTCCCTTAATCATCTCTAGTTGGTCAAATGCTGCTGCTTGCCTCCCAACTGGAGGTCTTGGGAGGGAGCACATGACTCCAATTCTGACCTTCCTTCACTGGCTCCCTGGACATTTTAGTGTTTCCTTTTAAGATTCTTTTAATTGTCTTTAAATTGTCTCACCCCAACTTTCCTCTCTAAACTCCTCCACCTCTACGTGCCCGGTCAGCAGACCAGATGCTACTGGAGGTACTGAGAACTAAGTGGAGATTCAGAGCTGGGGAACAAGCTTTTTCCATTGATGTTATGAATTAATAATTTAACTGTCTGATTTTTATTCCATGTTCAGCAATTTATATGCAGCCTTGGTTGTTTTTAAAGTGATCTTTCAATAAAGTTGACTTGACTTGATCTACGTATCCATCTCAAGGTTCATACATTACACTCATTTTGCAGTGTTGGTGAAGCTGCGCGGCACCGAAAACGTGAGCGAGGATATGACAGAGATGAAGGAAGAGAGCCGGCAGATGTCGGTGGAGAAAAAAGTGACAATATTCGAGCTCTTGCGCGCCCCCGTCTATCGCCAACCCGTCCTTGTTGCCGTGATGCTGCAGCTCTCACAGCAGCTGTCTGGGATCAACGCTGTAAGTTGGCCAGCAACTCTTACGTTCTATTCACATGTGATCACTGTACGGAACATCAAGCATCGAGTGGGATTGGCTTCAGCTTCCCTGTAACACCAGCCAGGATAAATAATATTGAAAGTGGAGGGATAAACATACTGTACATTAGTGCATGCCATTCTGCTAAATTAAGACTATTTCAGTTTTAGGATGCATTTTTAATCCTGAAGGAAACCTGAGATGCAGTAACAGTGTCAAAAATTGGAAAAGAATTAGTCAGTGAACACGTGGACCTATACGAAGGCCAAACGACTGAACACCAGTGGTGGGCAGTTACATCCAGTCGGGCCTAAACACTCTCAGAAGCTCTGATGCACATTTATAACTTAAATTCTCATACTTGTTCGATGTAATACTGTTTAATTTTTTCCCAACAGTCTGCATTCTTTATTTCAAAGAATTTCTCCTGGATGCACTGCCTCGTGTCTGTAAATGTTTAATTTTTTTTTTTTTGGGTGTTTTTGTTTTTTTTGGCCAGTCAGATTTGAGCCCCTGCCATGTCACTCTAAAACACACAAGGGCCTTCGTAATCAGTAGTGCTGGCACGTAGCTTACATTTTATCAGCAATGGGACTGTTTCTTTAACCAATGAGATTTGACAGTCATCCTCACCCTCAGTGATGTTATTATTTTTCCATCCTCTGATTGGTTTGGTTGGTCACAGCAAAACTTGTTACAAGCAACTTCGACGACCAAAACGCATCTGTAGTGGTCCGTACACATCAATTTACTTAATAATCATCTCTGGTGAGTTTCGTGTATTTGAGGTAAAAAAAATGGTTTTGTCATGTTGTTAGATTAACATTGATATTGCCTGCGATTGGCTGATGACCAGTCCAGGGTATATCCCACCTCTCACCCAAAATCAGCTGGGGTAAACTCCAGTTCACCCGTGATCTTCGTGAAGATAAGCGCAATAGAAAATGGATGAATGGATGGATGGATATTGATTCTGCTTCTGATGTACCTGCCATAGTTGCGTGTTGTTATATTGTGGTTTTGTGTAGTAGTAGTGACGGTTTCTCTGATTGTGACGTGATAGTGACATTAAGAGGTGGATTAAGTAGAGTTCACTCAGTCCCCACTGAAGGCCCGTGTTACCGAATGCACCGCCCTGCGGCAGCCCTACGTGGCTCATTTGACTTGATGTGCATGGCCAATCCTGAAGGTGCAGCTCCCTCTGCTGGATCTGGTTGAACACTGCATTACTTGTCGCATGTGCTAGTGTTAGTGTGCTGCACATGTGAATTAAGTATTATGAATTATATATTATCAAGTATTGCGCATGGTCATTATAAAATATAAATTATATAAAATCGTCAACAATTGCTCTTAGCAAATTCTATCTTGAAGTTGTTGTCTTGCTAGTATGTCATTTGAAACGTTACTTGACGATTGGGCTTGATGTAAAATAATCAATCTGTATTTGAACTTTTGCGAGCCAGGTTGTTATCTTGCTGTGTTTTTCCAGCTGCTAACGTATAAGCACCGATTACTTCTCATGGGAAATACTACTTCAATACATGAACAAGATGTCAAATCCTTGTCAAGTGGACTTTCTTGACTAACGTTGCTATTTTGCTAAATGTTTGCATGCATGCATACCAGTGATGACCCTGTTAGCTTTTCGTTTGTGCTTAGAAACAGTACCTGAATACAGGGATACATTAATTCATTTTGATGGGCCTTAGCAGTTGGCTCCGCAGGTTGTCATCTTTCTGTGTTAGTACAGTAATGCAACTTTATGGTTGCGAGCAATTCTCATCACTATTGTATTGGCATTCACGCTCAATTTCTAAGGAAAGTGCATTTTCCAAGTTTATGGGACAGTTGCTACATTCTCTTATTTTGATGGAAAACTGCAGTAATTAATTACTGGTAAATATAAACACATCCTCAATTCCTTTTCTGTTCTCCCCTTTTAGGTGTTCTACTATTCTACCGGAATCTTTGCAAAAGCAGGTGTGTCCCAGCCTGTCTATGCAACCATCGGAGCAGGAGTAGTAAACACAGCCTTCACAGTGGTTTCTGTAAGTAACAAAATAAACATTTTGGAAAACGTCATAGTTTAGGTTCAGAATGCTCCAGCGACGCTCTCTTTTTGTGCAGTTGTTTGTGGTGGAGCGTATGGGCAGAAGGCCACTCCACCTGACTGGTTTAATGGGAATGGCAATATCTGCAGTTGTTCTCACTCTTGCGATGGCCTTGTTGGTAAGTGTATTCAATACTGCTTCTATTTTATGTTTAGGTTGTGTGGAGACTAAATAAATAATCGTAACAATTGTGGTATTCCTGCTGAAAGTTACTGTCTCCCGCAGGATCAATACAGCTGGATGTCCTATGTGAGCATTGTGGCCATCCTAAGCTTTGTCGCGTTTTTTGAAATTGGCCCGGGCCCCATCCCATGGTTCATTGTGGCAGAACTCTTCAGTCAAGGGCCCCGACCTGCTGCCATCGCAGTCGCTGGCTTCTCGAACTGGTCTGCCAATTTTGTAATCGGCATGAGCTTTCCATATGTTGAGGTGAGGTTGTTGATGTTTTCCGAAAATAAAAATTCGCTCAAATAGACACTTATCGAGCACCCTAATAGAAGCCTGGATAACTCGGTCAACTTGGATCAGATAGTCTTTCAAAATCAATCGGGATCTTTTGCTGACGTAAACAATGGGCAGACAATACAATCCAATAGTAAAACTGATGTCACAGTGAATAATCAAATACTGTATGACTAAGGGCAGTTTGATGTTCGTAATTTCTAGAACCATTTGAGCTTCTGAGCAAGCGAGGTTCATGTTTTAAATTTTTTCACTCAAATTCTATCTGCTTCTCATCTTCTTTAGTATCAAGTTCCTTGGCCGCAGTGTTTGTTTGGGGACTACTTTTGATTAAACTGAAGTACTATTGAAAAAAGGCTCTCATTCTATTCTGTGCTGTACTCCAACTTGAACACTGGTGTTTCTCTCCCTTCAGCAACTCTGTGGTCCCTATGTCTTCATCATCTTCACTGTTCTCCTGGTGGGCTTCTTCATCTTCACCTACTTCAAAGTGCCCGAAACCAAGGGGCGTACCTTTGATGAGATTTCTGCAGGCTTTCGACAATCAACTGGCCGCGGTGCTGATAAATACTCGGCCTCTGAAGAGTTCAACACACTCAGGGGGGATGATCCTGACCTTTGAAAGCTGTGCTCAAATTTCCTTCATTTCATACATATTTGAATCCCAATTCATTTGTTGTTATCCTTCTATGATTTTTAGTCCATCCGCAAACTGTCAAACAGGGTAGTCACACGTCCTGTTCAGTTTTGGTGCTTCAAGGTCAAGGGACTGGTGTGACACCAAACATACAAATACAGTGTCGTATGACAGTCCCATTTAATATAATTAGTAGCCCTGAAAAGTAGTTCTTCTTTGGTCTTAGTTCTGTGTAATTGCTTAGGAGGTTACTGATTGGGCAAGGCAATGGTTATTTTGTTCTCTCATTGTGTTTGGTTCTTAGTTTGGATGCAAGAGAATAGAACTTGTCAGACACAACACCACTTTCATCTTAATAACTTTACACAAACCTTCAATTTGGGTTGAGCAATATAAGGGTTCTACCTTAACCCGGAGCCACTCCATGGCTGTCAGGCCACCCAGGTGGAGATCTTAGTAGTCATCAATTTAGTGGGGTACAATCAAACTGCATTTACATCGACAGCGGAAGCCAAAATCAGTACAATTGGATTGATCTCGTAGGTACCACAGTTAATAAAGTTAATCCACCCAATCTCCTGTGTTTATTCTGCTGTTGCAAAGTGCATAGATACATATTAACCCATTTAATCCCACAGGTCACATTTGTGAAGGACAACAATGATTTAATTTACAGGGCTCTAAAAATTTTTTATTTAAAAAAAAAAATATTTAAAAGGGCTACCAGTGACACCTGATTTTGACTTTTAAATGTCTGGGAAAATTTGGCATTAAATTGGTTAACACACATATACACATTCACACACAACTATTTATTATTTGGAGAAAAGGCTAAACTAAGACTGAAAAATGTTTCCTAACCTTTATATGTAACACATGTTGACCCACAATGGCACACTTGAGTCTTAACATAAAAAAAAAACAACAACAAAAAAAATCGGACAAACGCAATTGACAATGATTTCAAAGGTGCAGTTAAAAATCTGAGCTCAGTAAATAGTAACTGTCAAAGAAAACAACTAAAAAAAAAAACAGTCAGCGTAACACTGAGTAACAGTAATTGAAAATGCCGAAAAGTTTTTCATTCCTGCATTTCTGGCTAAAATCCTAAAAGTACAAAAGAATTTTTTTTAAAAATATTGTCAAGTAAACATTTTTTTTCTTAATAGCAGCATTCCAAAATAGTCTAGGGGTGCTTTTTTATCATTTCATTTAAAATTAAATAAAATAAAAATCATCATCAAACTATGATGACACTTCATGGAGTGGTGACTGTGGAGAAGCATCCAGCTGTTCAAACATGTCATCGATCACCTGCCACAGGCAGTTGTCCAGTGGGAAGTCATTGTCCACCAGATTCACCAAAAAGTAGTTGTCATGAATATATTTGATGATCATCCGAGAAGGTGACTCGTCTTCGTACAGTTTGGCCCATTGCTCGATCCACAAGGCAAAAGCCTCATCCTGAGGGCAATACCCGGATATGTTTGTTCTAGGCAACGGGGATGCATCAGGGCAGTTCGCAAACATCTTGACGCATGTTTTCTTACCTTCCAGAACATAAAGCTGACCGGGTCCACAATGGTGGGCTGAACAATCTCCCTGCCTGGGAATATCCCCCACGTGACGGCATTAGGTTGCATGTCCGGGGCGTTGGTCAGGTTACGGCCCTTGGTGCAAAATATACAGTATGGTTATGCGTTGACAGAGAAATCAGGAAAAGCGTGGCTTCCTTTTGAAACTTACGTGCACGTTAACAATGTGGTAGTTGACACGGGGTTCATACTTTTTCAGTACTTCGAGGAGAGCAGACACATTTTCGCTGGAGGTGAAGAACTCCAGATAGGCCTGTTGGATAGAAATGACTGAGGCAACGTGCTCACACGCCGCACAAAAGCGACGCCCGTTTTATCGATCAAGTGGTTGTACTTTCTGAAAGACGTAGCCTCCGGGAGGGCCCCAGCCCACTATTGGGTCGGTGGAAGGTTTGCCGTTGATGTTGGGCTGAGAGTTGATAGTTAGCACGCCTCGTCTGTTCACTTTCTCCAGTTCATCCTTCAGTAGGTTGGTTTCCTGGGCCAGAGGCTCATCATTCCAGGGCAAGCACATCACCTGACAAAGAGGAATGCTTAGCACTTGATTTGTGTGGGCGGCGTCGGGCTTCTAGAGCAGGGGTGGCCAAAGTTTGGCCCACGACATTCTTGAAGCATATTTACACTATCAAGATTCCTGAAATATGTGTTACATAAGTGTGTTTGAATGTTTGTACCACTCATTTAACGGGCAAAAGTTGAGGGCATTACAATACTTGAGTGTGATCTTTCTGCGCCTCCTCCCTTTACTTGGGCTTCTGCGTGAGCTAAACACTAAAGTTAAAGTACAATTCAGATACAAAGAGGTGCTGTAAAGGGATCCATCTACCTTGTGTCCGTTTCGATTTGGCTGAGCTGTGATGTAGGAGGTAAAGACCTCATAGACACTCGCCTCATTCTTCAGCTCCTCTCCCCACATCTTTAGCAAGTCTTCTTTGGATGACTTGCTCTTCAAGTAGAACAAGTAGTAATCATTCAACTCACCAAAAGCTGGAGATGAGGAGTTACCCCTAGTAGGAAAAACAACAGCATGATCTTTCTTCTGTTTTTCAAGCTAGGGTTTTTTTTCTGATATAGAAAGCAATCAACAATCTATCACATTCCTTTCATCCTCCTACTTGGATTAAAAAAACTGACAAAGATCTTACCATCTGCCATTTGGGAATTCATCCCACTCCTGGGTTCTGTAGATGTAGCTCTTGGGTCTGGATGCCCAGAAGATGGGTCGCACGTCCTCGACCTTTCGCTTGGGATGTGCACTCACCGCCCAAGGAAGAGGCCGTCTGACAGAGAAAACAAGCTCTTCTTTGGACAACAGTGCGGGCTATGCAAAGGGAAGAATCTGTAGTTTCCATCGAGAATCTTTTTGACACGCACGGAACAAAATTACAAATGCAGCACTTCTGTTTTCGCTCCAACTTTTCAGGACCTGAATGCACAGCTCGAAGCACACAAGGCCCAGTTTTCTCAAAGATTGCTCACAAAGCTGTGTCTGTCTGTGTTAGTGAGCGCTTGATTAAATAATCTGGCCACTGGACAGGTGTAGCATATGAACATGCTGATTCGTAGATATGTTGCGAGAACCAATACTAGGTATCAGGCCGATGCAGGTCTGACTTTTAGGTATTGTGTACTCATGGAGGAAGCTGATACAGGTCACCGATACTTAGAGAAAAGAACATTTGATCTGGAGTAAGTCCACCTCGGCAGTAGTTGGCGCCATAGTGAGGCAGTTTGACACGTCAGCAAATCCTCACCTGCTTGCGTTAGAAAGAAAGCTTTTGTTCACAATGTTTTGTCATTGTGGAAAACGAAATTTGATACATCAAAAATACTTGAGGTATCGGTATACTTGGTATGGATAAGTCCTCCAAGAGTGAACACACGTACTGGTATTGAATTAAATAAAATTTAATTGGTTTTGAAGTGGGCTTCGGTTGTGGGCAGCCTACAGCACAAAGTGCAACAATCACACTCTCTAATCAGCACTTTGACATTTCACACCTGTGTGATGGATGGACTATCTCAGCAAAGAAGAAGAGCGCACCATCACAGCTTTAGGCCTTTGGTGTGCTCAGAATAGTTTTTATCTTTGAGTTCAGCTTAAGAAAAATAGCAAAACAAAGTGTGCCACATTTCTATTTCGGTTCAAAATATTTGGCAGCTACAGGGATGTCTCACCTCGGGTCCTCCACCCACAGGCCGAGCTGCCGGAGGACTTCCATGGTGGCGACTTCTCGATTGAGAGTGTAGAAGTGCAAACCGGGTACTTTGCCACTTTGCAGCAACACTCTGCACATCTCCACCGCTAGTTGGATGCCATAGTTCCGAATAGCTGCATCATTGTCTTTGATGGGCTCAATGACTTCCATGATCTCCTCCGGCACCTCCAATTTTGAAAGCTTGACAAGCTGACGCAGAGACTGGTAGCCCTGAAGACAAATACAATTCAACTCCAGAGTCATGTGACCATATGATCAATATAAAATGACTTGCAGGTTAAAGCAGGAACAAACTTTTTATTGTAATGCCATGAAATACTTTTTGCTCACTTTTCTCACTCACCGTAGCATGATGAAAACTGAACAGGATCATTTTCGTGCCAACTTACTTCAATTATAGCCCCTTTGCACTGCCTGTTAAAGCAGATTTCAATGCCTCTTTTCCGTGTTTCTATTTTGCATAAACTAACAGTTCAGCGAGACGGTTGCACCTCCCCCCAAAGAAGGCCTGTTACATTCTATTGCAATTCATAGCCAAAATGATAGATATTAAATAACCACTGTCAGTATGTGAGTTGTTACCTGAATTGGGAAGATCCCAGGAAGGATGGGACACGTGATCCCAACTGCCCGACAGTCATCAAGAAATTTAAGGTACGTTTCCGCCCTGAAGAACAGCTGCGTGATTACAAAGTTGGCTCCAGCATCCACCTTCTCCTTCAGATGTCGCAGATCTTCCTCATAGCTTTCTGCCTCAGGGTGACCAGTGGGATAACCTGCGGCACACACATTTGTCATCAATGACCAGTGAGAATATATTTTATAAGATGAGGCCATCCATACCTGCGACACATATGTCAAAGTAGTCATCGAACTCTGATCGGATGTGTTTCACAAGGTCGATGGCATAGTTGAAGCAACCTTCCTCTTCCTCCCAGTCTGCACCCACTGGGTCTGTGGATATACAGGAATGTGGACCATCAATTTCTAAGAGATAAAAATGTACATACCGAGAGAGCCACATCACAAAATAAATGACTCCGCTACCTCCTCTGAGAGCCATGATGTTTTTCAGGCCCAGGTGCTTCGCTTTGGCCAGATAGGCAGTGATCTTGTCTTTGGTTTGGTTGTAGCAGGTTAGGTGGAGGATGCTCTCCAGGCCACAATAGTTGACTGCTGTGCTGGCAATCATCATGGACGACGTTTCCTTGTCGGAACCCGGATCTCCAGCAGGATGCCATGTTATGTCAATGAAGAGTGGCCCTCCGGAGCCCATACGGTCAAATCTGAAGACGGAATGACATTCTTCAATCCAATGCTCCTGAATTGAGTTTTGATCCAAATGAGGAGCTCATCACACACCTATGCTATAAGCCGTTTAAAAAATATATGTTTTATGATTTGTTCCAAAGAGCATTTGGATTCTGACACATTTATAGGACTTTTTTTCCGCCCCCTCAATGACAGCAGAATTTTACATTGCAAGATCTCAACATCCCAGAGGTCAAGGAATAAACTAAGAATGGATTTTAAAAACGCCTTTAAAGCACAGAACTTGGTGAGGTCATCATCCATGTCAAAACTCAGTGGCTTTTCTTTGTTGTAACCCTCTGGGCTCGATGCTGGCAATTTAAATCCCCATCACTTACTTTTTAAGAACCACTTTACAGGTAATGCAAATGGAATCAAACTTATCGAGGGTGTGAATTTTTTTGTCAGATCTTTTTTTAACTTCAGATTTCTACAAATATCTCTACAACATACTCATTACATCAAATTGTATCCTTAGGCAGGGTAAATGTGCCAGACCTAGCATAAATGCTTGTTTTCAGCAGTCCAAAGGCAGGTTACTAAAATAGCACAGTGAGATACATAAAACTTTAAGGCCACAATGACAGAAATAAGAACCCTGTGGCTAAGTCTGCGACACTGAAGACACAAGTTCATTGCTGTTGCTCACTTGTACAGCCCACAAATAAAACATCTAAATATTTTACGTTTTATTTTGACTTTATAAAGACTGCGAGGGACAGTCAGAGATAGTGGATGAGCTAAAAGTAGTCCATGGGCTGTACTAAAGTTCTGATTTAAGAGGTGTTGGCTGTTGAAGACTGCACTAAAGTATAAGCAACGTGAGAAAAAAAAGGTGTAATTGATGTTAGTATTAAAAATGATCATTTTTAAAGGTGTGACATGCACGTTGTGCAGACAAACTGGAATTTGAAGGGTTAAAAAAATGGTTATCTCATACTAATGACAAGAGCCGAAGTACAAAACTTTATGCAGTAAAACGACCCCCCGCCCCTGAAAAAAACTAAAGCAATCTTTGAAATCACAGCTTAATTTCACAAAGTAAAAAAACGTACATATTAAAACGGTGTGTACTTGAAATCACCTGCACAGCGAATTTCACGGTAATATAATGGTGACTGTTGGAGCTCAACACTCTCTCCTCCATATGAAAAGTGCTTTGCTAATATCAGACAGTATGAATACAGAACAAGGAACTGACACGCATACCTCGAGATGAGATTCACTGCACCTGGGGTCGTTCGAGGGGGAAAGAATTCCAGAGAGAACCAGTGGTCCCCGGACTCGATCCTCTTCCTCATCTTGTCTCGCAGCCTGTCTGAACGATCTGAGTCCAGCACTGGCGTGGAACATCGGGAACTCTCCTTGGAGCTCTCCCCGCCGCTGGTGCCCATCCCACTGGAGTCACTCTTACATGACTGGCAGCTGCCATCGCCTAGCTGAACCTGGTTCACCATAACGGGAAATTGCTCTAAAGAAACAAACATACAGCGCACAGTTACTATAGTAATGATACAGAACAGGTCAAAGTTGTGAATGGTACACAATGGATTTGCTGTACTTACAGTTTGTCATTTGACTGTTTTCAGTGGTGGGAAGTAAAGAAGTCCACATATTTGTAACTGTACTCAAGTAGGTACTATAGGTAGGTAGGTAGGTACTATAGCTGCACTCTCCTTGAGTATTTATTTTCATGACTACTTTTCGCTTTTACTCCATACACTTGAGAATATATTTGAATATCTCAGTACATTCTACTACATTCTTCCTCAAAATAGGCTGGTTACTTTGCTGCTATAAATTGGGAATTTCTCCATTGTGGGACGAATAAAGGTTTTCTTATCTTATCTTAAATCTCAGCAGAAAATATGTTAGCGGTAATATGGCAAAAAAAGGTCAACTGTAGTTGGGATTTTGAATGATTGAATTCTTAGGATCTTATCATGTGGGGAAAAAACAGGGAAAAGCAGCGGCATGGAGGAACAAAAACCAGGGATCGATCATTAATGCCGATGAGAAACCAATTCAGAAAAGAATGATATTCCCCATTCACTGCCTTATTTAGGAAAATTATGCTGATGTCGGTCCTGAGAATGACTTGAAAACCAACAACTTCTTAAGTAAAAAAAAAAAAATAATCAATGAAATCTGAAAAAACACAAGTGAAATTTATTTTTTTTCAGTTGTTATCAATAGCCTCACCCCTCAAAGGAGCACTATGCAAGTTTGTAAAAGAGGGAAAATATTTTGTGTGTATGTAACTTCTATTTTTTTTGGTGTGTCTTTTCAAGTTTCAATCATGACTTGCCATGGACGATATTTACCTTTATTTATGGAAAGGGGTTGAACCAGTATTTCTACTTTTGTCTGTCTTTTTAATGCTGCTGTTGTTTTTACACAAGGATATGTTTTTTCTACTAGTAGAGCGTGCAAGTACTTTTCCCATCTCTGATTGTTTTACATGTACACCCCAGAATCATTTTTCGTACACAAATCTACTGTACTGAGTTTCCGCGCGCTGTTGCGATTTACGTATAAGCTCGGGTAGAAACGGAACTTCGTCGTAAAGCGGATACCTCTCCAATATTCAACACATTCCCAACTAGCGTTTTACGAACCTCAAGCTAGAGCAAAGGAACTAAAAACCGCATATTGCTTTGCAGTTTGACAAACAGGGACAGTTCATTTTAATCCGAAACGCAAGCAAGGGTTCCAACGCCAAACTGCGCCCATCCCATGACCATTAGCTTCTTTGTAACGGAGCGTGGTGGTAAACATGAACTCACCCACGAATATTCATTTTAGTCACATGGCTGGGCACATGAAAGCGTGCACAATTAAGTTAGTCATAAAAGGACACGCAATTAAAGTGTAGTGTACTTGAATGCGTTAGCAGCTCCTGGTGCAGCACAGCTAGCAACTCACTGGCTGTGGCTTTGTTCGTATTAACGCCAAAAAACACAGGCTATACCAGCTACAGGCTAAATTCGGCATATTACAAAGGCCAAGGTTAGGTCAAAGTAGTTGGTTCTCACATGTTTTTTCAGTCACCCCGCTTTGTGTTGCCGGTGTTCCAGAATTCCCACGATATTAGTGGGAGAGCAAAAGAGGCGACAGCGTGGAAACTCGGAGGAATTCCAATCGATGACAGATGCTTCCATCAAGTGACGCCCGTAGGTGAGGAATACCTGCCACACTCAAGTTCTTGTAAAGTCGGACAGTTCGTAGTGTGCAGTCAACCGTGTCGATGAGGTCATGTTACCGTAAATTCATCTGCACACGTTAAAGCACATTTTATATCTTTAAACTTTTGTGAATAAAATATAATCGAATGCCTTTGTCTTCTCACATTACACAGGTCCGCCTTCTCCAGTGCTAACGTGCATGGAAAGTATGAAAAATTAAATGAGCTATTAGTCCCCTTCAATAGAAGCACTATGGCTATTTTTGAAAGTAGAAAATTCAGGACAGTTATTGTTTTTTCAGACGTGATGACTATTAGGTTATAGCCCTAAATTCAACATATTAGATTCAAGAGCTAAATATATCTTTACAGCCGAAGTAGTAAATCAATAAGATACTGAATCGATTTGTGGTCAAAGTAGTATTGTTCATTATATGGATTATTGTACAGACATTGAATATTGCACAGTATAGGTAGTGTAGTAATAATTAACATTTTTTAAAATAAAATATCGGTCGCCAAGTGGGCAAACAATATTTTATTTAAATCATGGTTAATTATCACACAATAAAGGAATGATTTCAATGAAATAATTTCATAATGTTTTAATTTAATTAATTTGGGATCTTATTTCTATTATTTTATCACAATCGTTTAATGGCGCATTTATGTATTTAACTGATTTGGGCACGTTTCGTTCTCCAAATAAATGAAGTTCCACCACAATACACACATGCCAATAGCCAACATGCTCTGAAAGCCGGGGCGTATCCGATGCTTTAAGTCACGTGATACTGGATGGCGGTTTAGGGTCATGGGAAAAGTAGGAACTCGCATATTTTTCTGTTGTGCGTAAGACAGCATGTTGAATCAATGTTCTCACTAACATGAAAAAACATATATATTTTTATGCATAAGTTAAGTTCATAGTGTATATCGTCATACACCCAGCGAACCCTCACACACGTTCTTGCTAATATTTACAGGTTTTTCCTGTAGGCATTGAATGCAGCATGACACAACAACGAAGATGGCGTGCTGTAGCAACTGTTTCGGCTGCAGGCGTTGTAGTGAAGAGGAGACTCGTACGCCAGAGGAGTTGGTAGGATGCTGCAATTACTTAATCAGTGCAGGTGTATGTTGGAATTTTTGGATTCGACTTGTATGCTTTGAAATGAGTCAAAACTGCTTTGGAATGCCTTGTTCGCTGCAGCTCTTTGCTTCTCCAGTGTGTTGTGACCCTCCAATGTAACTTATTCGCAAGTAATAAGACTAAACGAACGTAGTGATTTGGCTGCATAACAAATGCAATACTGTTATCGCAATTTTTGCTCACTATTGGACTCATCACGGTTCAAAGAACATAGTCACTCTGCAGCATTATTGGAAGGATGCTGAAAATGCAGGCAGTCACATTGATGATTTCGTTTTCATGCTTATCTTAAATGAATAGTTAGTTACCTTACTGCGTTTACTTGTCACAAGTTTATTTCTGATGTTCTTGCAGACAATTCTTGGAGAAATTCGAGATGAGGAAAATGAGATTCTGCCAAGGAAGGACTATGAGGTAAAATAACAATGAAAACAGTGAGTTCAAGGTGCAGTTTGTGTTTATATGTCAACATCTGTTTGAGCGTAAACCCTTTTTATTGAATAGAGCCTGGATTATGACCGATGTGTCAGTGAACCTTATGTGGAGATTTTGGAGGGGATGGACAACAAGGTAAGCGAGGTTTTGTTTGTTAGTGAAACAGCGTAGTCCAGATAGTGATGTGTGTTTTAGTGCACGTGTTCAGTTTTCGAATGCTCCTTTCATGTTCACGGGACAAACAATGACGTGCTGTCTGTTAATTCCCCACCCCACCCACATCCAAATGAGAGGATTTATCGATTTTATTACACAACCTCACAGCAGAAGTAAAACTTAAGCTCGGTGTCATGTATACATAAAAGTACAGGCAACACAGATGGGAATTGTAGCTACTTAAAGATGTCAAAGTAGCAACTCTATCATCATATATCATACCTCCTATGATGCATTGCGTTTTGATTACGGCATGCGTCTCAATTGACACCATTATTTTGTACAATTTTTTTGTGCCACCCTCATTGTTGCTCTGTCACTTGGCATCGTTTACACATTTCCTTGTTCCATTTAATTGTTACTTAACGATTAGGTATTCTGATGATGAAAAAGAAATGACATATCTTTCTGAACCAAAATTTCTTTCAGATAAACTAGAATAAACCTGTGGCAATTGTTTGGGCAATAAAGAAAAGAGGATTGCTGTTAGTCAACACTTGGAGTCATTGTCTTAAAAAACCCAAAGACCAAATACCGGATCCCTCGGCGTGCTGATCACTAAAATAGCCTTTCGGCAGCTGGAAAAACATATCCAGATTGAAGGGTTGCATTATCCCACCAGATGAGGAGAAGCTTATACTTGCTTTTATCTCCAGTAGACTTGATTATTGTAATCGCTTCTAACTGGACTCCCCCAAAAGAGCATCAAACAGCTGCAGCTCATTCAGAACGCTGCAGTTCAGGTTCTTACCAGAACAAAGAGATCAGAACATATTGCTTCAGTCCTAAAGGCCTTACACTCGCTCCCAATCACATTTAAAATAGATTTTAAAATACTGCTACTGGTCTATAAATCTCTGAATTGTTAGGGACGTGAATACGTTAAAGAAATATTGATTGAATATAAGGCCAGGGGGGCTCTGAGGTCTGTCGACTCGCATCAATGAGAGGAGCCCATTAGCATTGAGCTTGGAATAAGATGTCCACAGTACTGAAGTGTTATATATATATAGTATTATGCCTTTCAATGTTGTTTTGTAACTATGTGAAGCACATTGAGTTACATTGTGTATGAAATGCGCAATATAAATAAAGCTGCCTTGCCTTTTCTGTCTTTCAATGTTTTTCTTTCCATTCCAACAGAAAGCTAAAAAATATGAAGCACTGCGATGGGTGATGGTGTTTGCGATTGGAGCATCTGTTGGACTGGTTTGTACTTCGGTTGTTCCCGTCTCTTCTGTTGCCTTTCAAAATGCACCTGATTTCTCTCAAATGTTTCCTTCTTCTCTTTTCTTTTAGCTGGGTCTGTTTGTGGATTACTTTGTACACTTCTTCACCAAACTGAAGTTTTCTATGGTTGGTTATTGTATCCTTTAGAAAGCCCGCCATCGTATTTCAGCACTCACTGAGTTTCAGAAGTGATTTTCAGAAGCGTTTTGATCACATTACTTCGAAATGTATCATGTGATGCCTATTGTTAGTTTAATTTTTGATTTGTGTACAGTATGATTTTCTTTTTGTGTGTGTAATCGGCCTAAATGTTATGGTTTTCACATGCTCAAGTCGTCATCACAAATAGCATCACCAATGTTCATTCTCCCAGCCAGGACTGGCGTTAAAAGTAGTGCATGATACACATCCCGCAACTCGCATTGTGGATGTATTTCTACCTGAGTTTGAAGCCTTCAGCTGTAGAGGAGTGCAGTGAGAAAGGCTGCCTCCCGCTGTCTCTGCTGGAGCTCCTGGCTTTCAACATGACCTTCATCTTCATCGCCAGTGTCCTCGTCCTCATCGAGGTGAGAATGCATACTCGGCCAACATAGATAGTTTTGCTGAGATTTTACGTTTCCTGTTTTGTGGTTGGAGTGGCAGTTTCATTGGCAAACATAATGTACTTTTTTTTTTTAACTGGATGTAAAATAATAATAATAAGAAGAAAACCTTTATTCGTCTCACAATGGAGACATTTCCAATTTACAGCAGCAAAGTTATGAAAGGAAGAAAGTAGAAGAACAAAAAGTAGAGGAGCTGCTGTAAAGGCAGCCACTCTCGCGGCGCCATCTTGAAGTCATAATAACACAGTAACAAAATAATAGAACACAACACATAAGACACAGACAGTCATTCAATCCACTTCTCTGCATACTCTTTGTTTCCAGCCCTTAGCTGCAGGCTCGGGGATTCCTGAAATCAAAAGTTACTTGAACGGTGTGAAGATCCCTGGGATCGTCCGGCTACAAACATTTCTCTGCAAAGCTGTTGGGGTTCTGTTTAGTGTCGCTGGAGGTAAAGTAAGATAGTTCCAAAGTTTGAATCTGCTGCTTTTCATTGTTCTTACATGTGTAAAATATGTTAGCTTTGGTATCAGAAGTCTGTCTTTTGGGGAAATCCTGTCAACATTTCCTATAGCCACCTTCCAAATAATAAATCAATAGGTAGGTAGTTACATAAAGAAGATAAAATTGTACTGCCGGTGTATTTCGCTGTAAAAGAAGGGATGAATAACGGGGTCTTTGGAGAGTCCAAACACCCCAGTAAAATGCCACTTTTTAAGAAGTGATGTACTGTATGCTTTGTGTTGGGTCCTTCCGTCTTAAGTAAAACCAATTCTTGTGAGATAAAACAGATGAAAATAAATAACACATTTTTCCAAGTGCTTTTGAGAGATGTTATAGCAAAATTGAACCAGGCATTTTGTTGTTTCTCAGAGTGACACATAAGAGATGGCCATCTCATGTCACACAAGCGGTACTTGCCACCAATTCTGACAGCTTTCTTAAAGTTGCTCTAGTTTCCCTTTTGTCTTTTCATACAGTATATGATTCTTTTGAGAAAGATACCACTGCTTCTGCAATGTCATTCGTCTGACTTCACTTGTCTCACCTGTGACCCTGAACAGGATAAGCAGTATAGAAAATGTGTAGATGGATATCCTGCTCTTGTAAATGCAACTGCAAGCTACTCGTAAATGTCACAAAAATCCCACTACTAGGTCATCTTAACTGCACTTGGCACAGTAAAAAGATAAGAGCACTCTTATGATAAGACCAAAAACCACTTTTAGTTTAAAACATTGGATTACACTCACCAGGCTTTTGGTTTTTATTATCTTGGTAGAATTGCACAGTTATCATTTCACATACTTCATTTATCGCATTTCGTATTATTATGTTGAGATTGTCACCCCAAATTTGATGCAAAG